CTTTGATGGGCTCTTTATGGCCTCAAACAAGCACCACGTGCTTGGTTTGAGAAGTTTACCACTGCTATGCATTCTGCGGACTTTGTTCAGAGTGAGGCTGATCATGCTATGTTTGTTCATATTTCGTCTTCTCGCTATACTATCATTCTTCTTTATGTGGATGACATGGTCATTACCGGCAATGACTCTGATTATATTGCACATACCAAGAGGCATCTTCAGCAACATTTTTCCATGAAGGATCTTGGTCCATTGCGTTATTTTCTCGGACTTGAGATTACTCGCAGTTCTCGTGGTATTCTTCTCTCTCAGCAGAAGTATACCGCCAATATTCTTTCCAAGGCTGCTCTTTCTGATTCTCGTACTGCGGCCACTCCTATTGAGTTGAATCAGAAGCTTCGCCCTAATGACGGGGAGCCTCTTTCTGATGTGACTCGTTATCGGACTCTGGTCGGTAGCCTTGTGCATCTCACTATTTCGCGACCTGATATTGCTTATGCAGTTCATGTTGTCAGTCAGTTTGTTGCTGCCCCTCGGTCTACTCATTATGTTGCTCTTTTGCGGATCTTGCGATACCTTCGGGGTACTTTGACGCGGTCTTTGTTTTTGCCGTCGTCTTCTCCTCTCGAGTTACGTGCTTATTCTGATGCTGACTGGGCTTCTGATGTAATTGATCGTCGATCCATCATAGGATTCTGCATTTTCCTTGGTGATTCTCTCATTTCTTGGCGCGCCAAGAAGCAACGGATTGTCTCGTGCTCCTCTACTGAGTCTGAGTATCGTGCTATGGCTGACACTACTGTTGAGATTGTCTAGCTTCGTCGTTTACTTGCTGACATGGGCATCTCGCTTCAAGATCCCACTCCTCTGTATTGTGACAACAAAAGTGCCATTCATATTGGGGCTAATCCCATTTTTCATGAACGCACCAAACATATTGAGATCGACTGCCATCTTACTCGTCATCATCTCCAGGCTGGCACCATCTCTCTTCCTTTTATTGGGACTGCCGATCAGTTAGCTGACGGTTTTACAAAGGCTCTTACAGCCCCCCGCTTTCAGTATCTACTTTCCAAACTCTCGCTGTTTGATCCACCTTGAGTTTAAGGGAGGGTGTTACAATATCTTTGGGATTTTGTATATATTCTAGGATATTGTAGATTTATTCTTTGTATATTCTCCGGGATTATTTCCCTAAAATATCTTATAGATTAGGTTTTATTGTACCTATTTATTCTAGGCTTGTGCCTTAATTCAATACATAGCTTTTTCATATTTTCTCTCTATCAACGAGGACGGGGACCGCCGACCCTCAGGACCACTTGGTTTTTTGTCCGACTTTTGTCAAATATATAACATATTATGAAATCATCTTATAAAATTTGTATGTCTTACCCTCATAGCTAAGTACTGGAGTTCACTTCATGTCGCCTCCCCTAAGCTATGTTTCTACATCCTTCTTCCTTCATCATTACAAATTTGATGGTTACATTCATTTGGCCAATACCAATGGGATTCATAAGGGGATTTGACTTGACGATTAAGCAGACTAGTAACTTAGTAATCAAGTGAATTTTTGTTGTGTATATTTAGCAGTATGCAATGTCACTTTAACTTTGATTGAACTAATAAAAGCTCAAATATGTTTGGTGTAGCTGTAGTTTGCTGCATAATAACTATGGGATAAAGTATTGCAATTTGTTTATCTGGTAATATATATTTTAAAGTTACAACTTCTTAAAGTTGTTTGAGACATTTTTCTAAAAGTTGTTGTAAGCTATATTATAGCCGTAAAATACTTGACAAGCACTTTATCAATCTTAAAGATATTAGAGATTCAAAGAATCTGCAACTTCAAAATTATCTAATCGGAATTTTTTTAAAATGATTGCCCTCTTTATATCGTTTGGATCACGTCTAAACATGTATAATACAAGTGTACTTGAGTTAATATTTCTCAAAGTTAAATTATATATACACACACATTGTTGTCTGAGTAAAATGTCAAATAACTTTTCTAGGCTGTCATTTGCTCTTATATGTGACGATAATTACCTGAGGCTTTCACATTGCTATGGATTGTTAATTAGGTAGTCTATCTTCATTAGTAGAACAGCTCGAGTTTAATTCTATTTCCTTTTGTAACAAATTAGGTATTTTGCTCATCAATAATGGAGGCCACCCGAGTGCATCTATCTAATAATGCCCTCACATTTTCGAAAGCCACTTTCTTTTCCCCTTGATTAGATTTGTTGAACGATTAATTAAAGGGTGTCTGAACCATACTTTTGCCATGTAAAAACATATTTTCTGACTTAGAATACGAGAGCGGGGGTCATCAAGAGTCAGTTCACATTGGGAATGTGACAATGATCTGATCCTTGCTTTTCACATTCCGCCAGATCCAGCACAGTTGAGCTCACACGACAATCATTGATCATAAGAATTAGAATGCCAACTCATGTGCCAAATAAATCCGATATTCTGGCTAGCAATCAATATGCAGATAATCCAAACCTGCAATTCTTGCGGAATCTCCTTTAATTTCGCCGGGGCGAAGGAACAGAAGTGGTGGCAGTGGATTATCTCATTTATATACCTTGTGCAAAAAAGCTTCCTGCTTCTTCTCGCAACGTCCATAAAATATTTGACAAGCACCTTATGAAACTTAAAAGATATTTTATCACTTTATCTTAAATTCTACAATAATTTAACTTTGAGAAAATAAATCTCACGTGCTTTTGTATTATACATGTTTAGACGTGATCCAAATAATATGTAAATAAATTTTTTTCTGAGTTAAGTGTCAAATAACTTTTCTGGGCTTCTTATTCGCTCTTATATTTGACGAAATTACTGGAGACTTTCACATGGTTATGGATTGTTAATTAGGCAGCCTTTCTTCATAAGTAGAACAACTAATTTTAAATTCTATTTACTTTTGTGGCTTAAAAAATCGTGTAATTTTAGATTTGAAAATTTTAAAAAAGTTCTAAAAGGTAGCGTAGTTGAACACAACATATTGATCTTGCATATTAAACGTTGATTTCAAATCTTTATCATTGCTCGACGTCCAATGATTCGGAACGGTAAAATTACGTAAATTACTCGTACTCTGTTTTTAACAGAGCTTTTAGAACGGCTAACACACGTGAGAAGACTTGTGTCAATGACTTCACACTTGGGAAGGGCTATATAAGCGAAAGCACTCTCCACCACCTCTTAACTCACTCTCATGCTAAATTGCAAAATGGGGTGGCATCAAATCCTCAGCCTCCTCTGTTTTCTCTTTGTCTTACATTCCTCCCTTCCCTTTGTGATGTAGAACAGTTAGCCTGTGATTATCTTGAACAATGTGATCGCCGTAATCATCGGAAATCTCGGCAGTTTTTCTGATTTTGGGGAAAACAACCATTCAAGCAGTTTCCTATATTATCATTTAGGCAGTTTCCTATATTATCAGTTAGGCAGTTTCCTATATTACCAGTAAGCCAGTTTCCTATATTATCATTTAGGCAGTTTCCTATATTACCATTTAGGCAGTTTCTTTAATTATTCGGTTTCCATTAGTATTAGGAGTCCTATCTCTATATATAAGATGTCCGTCTTGTAATCAAGAGCACAGTATTATTGAATAAAAATTTCGAGTTTTTTTACTCTCCTCTCAGGTTGGAAAATCCATTCTTCACAATGCTTGCCTAGAATTTAACAGTAGTGAGAAAGCTTGTTCTTGATTTTATAAACATGTCCGTGGTTTCACCAAAGTTCTTTGTGAACTTGTCTTCTTCTCTGACGCATTTAAGTGTTAGTGGTTATTCCTTAAAAGGGATATTCCCAGTTACTGTTTTTTGCTTCCCGAGCCTTACTACTCTCGATTTGAGTTCCAATGAAGACATGTTTGGAATTCTTCCCAAATCCAATTGGACCGGTCCTCTTCGTTCTTGTCTGTCTTCAGTACAGGCTTTTCAAGAGAAATACCCAATTCAATTGGTAACATGAAGAGTTTAACAATTTTAGATCTTGAAGGGTGCAAATTTACAGGACACATCCCCTCATCATTGGGAAATCTCAAACAACTCCAATACCTATATCTTGGTGGGAATAACTTTAGCGGGGTTGTAGAGTTTGAAATCTTTACGAAGCTTAAAAATCTACAGTGGCTTAGTGTTTCTCAGGAACTAAATCTAACCTACAATAGATTGAGCTATACATTCCCAAAGCTTGAATAGTTGGGGTTGCATTCTTGCAACTTGACTAAGTTCCCTTATTTCTTGAATTCGTTAGAAAGATTGACACTCTTGGACCTCTCTAGAAATAGGATTAGTGGGGAGATCCCGAGGTGGTTCTGGGGAAAAAACCATGATACGTTGAAAAGTTTAGATCTTACTCATAACCTTTTGGAGGGAGTTACGCCACAATTGTATCGGAAGAGGTTGTTACTTATGGATCTTCAGAACAACTCATTCGATGGACAACTCTCGATCCCTTCACCTTCTACTTTAGTATTTTGGGCCTCCAACAATGGTTTCACCGGTGAGATCCCCTCTTCGATTTGTCAGTTGAGTTCACTCGTGTCTTTAAATTTGCCTAACAATAGTCTCTTTGGGAATATGCCACCATGTTTTGGTAAGATGATCAATCTTGACATTCTAGGCTCGAGCAGCAATAAGTTACAAGGGCCACTACTGCACTCCCAAGTCAAATACGTGAACTTGTCATCATTAGTTCTCAGTCACAATGAGTTCAATGATATCTTCTCAAACACCTCATTGCGTGTAATAAATTTGTCCAACAATAAGTTTGAAGGGCCAATTCCACTTCCATCTCCCATGACATATTAATATTCCATTGCAAGTAGTAACATAACAAGAAAGACCCCTTCTTTGTTATGCAATGCCACCAAGCTCAAGATTATCAACTTGTCTAACAATGGCTTGACAGGTGCCTTGTCTCAATGCTTAACAAGCTTCAATACCGATTTGTCAATTTTGAACTTATGAATGAACCATCTTGAGGGCACAACTCCTCAATCATTTTCTTCAAGAAATAGCTTGGTGACTCTTGATTTCAGTCAAAATCGATTTGAAGGCACATTACCACAGTCCCTTGTTGAATGTAAATATTTGGAAGTTTTGGATGTCAGTAGCAATCAGATAGATGATGCATTCCCGAGATGGTTGGGAACACTTCCAGAGTTAAAAGTTCTCATTTTGAGGTCCAACAATTTTAAGGGTTTGTTGGATATTCCAAAGGAAGTTGACCTCTTTCCCAAGTTTCATATTTTGGATCTCTCCAAAAACAATTTTGGCGGTCCTTTGCCGACCAACTTGATAATGAGGCCTGAAGGCATGATAAATGGCGAAAATGGGCAAGAAAAATCATTATATATGACACGGTCTATCGAAGGGAGATCATATGAAAATTCTGTGATTGTGACAATGAAAGGGCTGGAGATTAAGCTAGTGAAGATCTCGACCATCTTTACAACCATTGACTTGTCGCATAATTCTTTCAAAGGAAATATTCCTGGAGTCTTTGGACAACTCCATTCTCTCAAATGGCTCAATCTTTCACACAACCATCTTACAGGTTCCATACCTTTGACTCTAGGAAACTTGATTAATCTTGAATGGCTCGATCTATCTTCAAACAAGCTCAGTGGGGGAATTCCTAGAAAATTGGGAGACTTGGCATCCGTTGGACTCTTGAACCTCTCGAAGAACCAACTCACGGGATGCATACCTCAAAACAAGCAATTGAGCACGTTTTCAAGCAACTTGTTTAGTGGGAATCCAGGCTTATGTGGAACTCCGTTGCCAAAAGCATGCCCTAGCGATACTCAACCTCCTCAGTCACTGCCCTCGTCTACTTTCGACCGCGAAGGGCATGCGAGTTGGTTCAAACAAAAAACAGCGTGGATAGGTTATGCGTCTGGAATTGTAATTGGGATCTCCATAGTATACATTGCATTTGAAATGGGATGGCCCAAATGGCTTGCGCGAGGTGTGAGAATACTAGAGAGAAGAGCAACTGAGTGGATGTAGAGATCAAAGCAGAAGGCTATCAAATTTCATGGACAATGATATTGTTTGAGGAGTTGTCTTAGATTTACTTCAATTAGCGCACTAGTTTAACTTAGTACTGTCCAAGTTTAGAATTGTTCTGATTTTACTTGCAGCATGCATTAGAGTTGGAGATTTTAAGATATTAGCAAGTATTTGTTCGATAAACTTGTTGTAATTTTAGTCTTTCCGCATTTTCTTTTGTGAAATAAAAGCTCAGTTTACCCACAAATAGAAAGTGAAGATTATACCATCTTTTTACAAATTGATATGGGGTTGTATCTTTCTGTCCAAGTGGGGGGCCCAAATTCATTGATGCACGGATGAATGTGCTTCATGCTTCACTCTAGTTATTGATTTGAATTTGTGGTTTTCTCTGTCATTGCCGCAAAAGTGATGAAGATATGGGCAGTGGAATTGGTAGCTTCTGGAGGTCAATCCGGTGTTTAATGTCTTTTTTCTTAGTAATGAAATAGTGATTTGCTTATAGCTTATTTGCTTGTTTGGGTTTGTGAAATGTGGTTGATGGCATTAGGTAAATTTTTAGAAAAAAAATCTAGGGCACGCGACCCAATAATAAAAAAGGATATTGAATTTAGAGTTCTGTGACGAAGGTGGTGGAAGGTGCAGTGAAGAATCAGAATTAAAAAAAGTGGATATTGAATTTTCAATTGAAATTTGCATGTGGATCTTAAGAGCCCAATTTATGTCTTTGGCCCAGACCCAAGACTCCGAGACCACCCTCGGACTGGGCTCAGCGGCCCAAATTTACGTCTTTTAACCATTTTTTCTTTTACCTTCGACATAGACTTTCAAATGCCGGCAGTGGGTTTCTAATCTTCACCGTCAGTAAATGATAAATTATATGGTGAAGAGCAAATGCATTAAAGATTTAGACGAAAAATACTTATTTGCACAGTGATGCTCTTATTGAATTAAATGGAAGAGAAACATCGTCATGCTCTCGCAAAGCATGCAAAACTCACGGTCTTTTTGTTTAATTGATTTTCATGTTACCTATGTGCAATAGCGCCAAATGGGTAACTTTACATATGGTCAATCCAAGGAACAGTTAATAAGGTTATTTCCTGAGAAATATTCATTATTTGATCCATGTTGGCTGGCATGTGAATTACGTAACTTTTAATCATTCAAAAGAATTAGTAAAAGACAGCTGCACTGGGGGGGCATTTGCCTTTGATTATCAGAAAATGCCTTCAATGTTGATAATATTACCTCTTTGTCTTGGTAAGTTTTGATGTGAACTGCTCATTTGCTTGTAGGCCAAGATGGATAGACAACAAGAAGAACCGCCTCCAGATGGAGCAGGAGAACAAGGTGAATTTAGTCTTCCAACTTGGTCCTCACATATACTTGACGACGTGGGTGCGATGATTTATATGAGTTTATTCTTCCTAGCAGTAGCGGTATGTTACATGTAAAATTTAGGTAGAGAACGCAAAATTATAACTTTCACTTATGCTTTGGTTCAAGAATAGATCCAGTTATGACAAATCTAAAATCAACTTGAAAGAAGTTATTCTGGTTGACAGAGAGAGGATGAACAAGTTAAAGAGTACATGGGAGAATATGATGGATGCATATTGGAATCTAGTGCGAGCAGAGAAGTATGAGTTGATGCAAGTTGACGGGCAGTTCTATCATTTTTTTGTTTTCTTTTTTCCACTTGTTCCCACGGACATTTTATAGTAGTGAGTATGGTCTAAATTGTAGCTTCAGTTTGAGGACTTTGTTAAAAGCGCTTCTCAGTCTTTAGTGCTGTCGACAGGCAGTCTTATTTTTTTTCTTTTTTCCCACTTGTTCCTTTGGCTAAGGACACCTCTGAATTGACGATATTTTGAATTGCTACCTGGCACTTAGCCCACGACGATTTTTCTCTGGCCTAAGTCAGCCTTATTAGCTCTTGCTCTTGCTCTTGCTCTCTCACGCGTTGCTACCTGTTGACACCTAAATTTTGCCCAAATCATTTAAGGTTTTATCGCATAAAAATTAGGGTTTAATTTTTAACCCCTAAGCCAAAAATACTTTTATTAAATTCCATGACATATAGACATTAGGCACATTTGCATTAATAGGGCCCATTAGAACACAAAATTAAAAAAAAAGATTTCCGGGCCGAGTTCGTCGGCCCATTCGTTTTTCCCTCTCCTTTTTATTTTTGCGCGGCCCATTTTTTTTTCCTCCCCTTTTATTTTTCCACGCGGGCCGGCCCTCTTTCTCTCGGCCCGGCCCGCGTCTGTCCATCTCCCTCCCAGTCAACCTTCTGAAGCGTACGGGGGAGAAGACCGGAACAGTGCAGAGGCCACAGAATGCAGAAGCCAGAGGGGCGCGGAGGACGCCGGCGCGATCTTCGGGTCGGGGGCATGCCGGCCACGGCAGGCTAGCGGTGGCAGGGGCCATGCGCGCCTGCCGGTCGGGTCCGCACCCCTAGCCGCCCTTAAATCCGAGGTGAGACAGAGAGATCGGGGGGGAACGGAGAGATCCGAGAGAAAGAGAGAACGGAGAGATCCGAGAGAGAGAGAGAACCGAGAGATCCTAGAGAGAGAGTTCCGGAGAGAGAGAGAGACGTCGGTCCTCCGCCGGCGACCGCCATGCCCAAGCCGCGGCCGACGATCCTCTGTCACGGTAGGTCCCGGTCTCGAGCGCTCGCCGGGTTTTGTTTCGGTTTAGGTTCGATTCGGGGTCGGTCTCCTGAGGATCCCGGCTCGTAGGAGTGCGAGGCGCGCGGATGCAGCCCGATCTACCGCGTTCGCCCTCCATTCGCCACCGTCGAGTCGGGTAGGGACCGTGGCCGCCCCCCTGCTTTCGTTTTTACTTAGTTTTTTGGGGGGGTCACTGGCCGGAGCTCGCGGCCGTCCGGCTTGCGCAAGTTCCGGCCCGTGACACCTCGGGCTCGGTCCTACTGCTCTGCGTGTTGTTGTGTGTGAATTTCGGATGTGTTTGAGCCTCGATCGTGCTTGAAATCCCTCCCTTCCGTCGACGCTTGCAAGGTGTTTGATGATATGCCTAAACCGTTTCTCGAATATGTCTCTGTTTCGTTGCGTTTTCTGTTTGGGGGCTGGAACGCCGGATGCTCCCGGCTGGGAGTTGGTTGCCGCGGTGGTGACGCGGGCAGAGGAGGCCCGCGGGTAGGGCGGCGGTCCGGGCGCGACCGCGAGGTGAGGTAAGGCGGCCAGTCCCCCGTCGGGATCTGGCCGATCGGCCTGCCAGCCTCTCGCCGAGGCTCGGCCGATCGGCCTGCCAGCCTCTCGCCGAGGCTCGGCCGATCGGCCTGCCAGCCTCTCGCCGAGGCTCGGCCGGTAGGTCCTAGGTGGTTGCCGGTCGACAGGTGGCGACCCGGCTGGAGGACGCTCGCCGCCCCTCGTCGGGGTGGCGATGTGGGCCAAGGTGGAGCGTCGGCCGCGGAGGCCGGGGCTCGGGGAGGCCAGCGTCCACGCCGGCCGGCGTGTGGCAGTGGCCGGGCATGCGCTCCACGTCGAAGCGGTGGCCGGTGTTCAGGCGAATCCCTGGGCGCGGCGTGGCGGCTGTGAACCGGGTAGGGTCTCTCACGTCCGGGCCGGGTCGCGGGTCTGACCGGGTAGGGTTTTATTTAGTGTGTGGGCTTTAGTGTTTTATTAGGTCTTGGGCCTTTCGCTGGTGGGCCACTATCCGAATTTGGGCTGAAGTGTTGTTAGTTTCTTTATTTATAGTGGGCTGGGCTTTTGTTTTTCTAAAAAATTTCGCGCTGGGCCCCTTTTTCTTTCTTTATTTGTTTTATTTGCCAGACCGGGCTCAATAAATGAACCCGGTCCGGTCGTGGACCCGGGCCGGCGCGCCCGGGTCGGATGTGGAGATTCGACCTGGATCCGATTTTATGTTATTTTTATTATTTTAATATTAAAAATTATTAAAAAAACATTAAAAAAATTATTAAAAATTATTAAATTTTTTTTAAAAAAAAATTTCAAAAAATAAAAAAAAAATTATTTAGACTTTCGAATTGTTTTTTTTTTGCCCTATGGTATGATTAGTGTCATGTTTGATTGCACGTTGCTTGGTTCACACACTTCGAATTGCGTGTTTAATTTAACCTCGCACGTAGTTGATTATGCATGTTAGGTCTAGGCGTTGACTGTTGCTTTCTTTGGCTTAGTTAGGAATGGAATTTTGAGACTCCCGATTAGTGTGAGCACGTTAGGTGGTGAATTGAACAAAGATTAGGTACCGAAAGGGTACTAATTAGTCAATTAGTGTAATCAAGTCCCCGTACCCATTGAATCTCTGGTTCGTAGAAGTGAAGCATTTCTCCCGTGCTTTACTTAGGTGTCTAATCAACCTATCAAAAACTGATTAGTGGCGACTCCTAGATGAAATTAATTTGCATGTTAACAACTTAAACTTAAGTCGCGAATTGGTATGGGCTTGGGAGAGCTCGAACTAGGTTTAACTTAGTAATCCATTAGCCAAACCCCTTAGGCGGCGGGGCCGGTTCGGGAAGGTTGCGACAGTTTGACGACTCCGCTGGGGACTTGATAAATTTCTTAGTGGACTTAGGCCGTTTACCTTGATCAATTATGTACTTAATGTGAATGTTCTTGCAGTTGGGAGTTATAAGGGAATAGATGATTGTTAACCCTTGTTTTGCAAGTTTTGGGGTTTTGGAATGATTGTTTATTTTGCATTTTTGAAGTCGTGATTGCATATGAATTGTTGTGTATGCCTTTGTTGCGTTAGCACTACACTATGGTACACACACAACCCGCCGTCGGTCCTGGGCCGCACTAGGAATGTTTACGATGGTATTGAGTTGGATACGACTTCGACCGCGAGGCCGCGTAGTAGAGGTTGCCCAACTCAATCCCGAAAGGTTCTTTCTTGGTGTCGTGAATGTTTACCTTTGCCCGCGAAGCCGCGTCGCATTGAGGTATCATTTTTGACTGAGCCGGAGTCACGAGGACTTGGCTTAGTACGCGAGGCCGCGACTAGTCATCCCACCCTCGTAGCTCCAATTTGTTAAGCCGTTTAGAATAGAAGTCAAGCCACACGCTTCATGCGTATGTCTATGTGGTTGTCGTAATTGTTGGGTGAAGTAAGTTTCCTACCATTTTCTTTTGCAATTTACTTACCTTTTATGCTTTGGCTGGTTCATGACAATAAGGTTGGTCGAATCCTGGTCTATATACAATGGGAAGATCCGACATTCAATTCATTCCTACTCCGAAGGCCGAACTCAAGCAGTGGTGGGATCAGTTGGATCACGAAGGCCGAGCCTATGTAGAGAATAGACTTGGTCGCCTTTTACTCCTCGTCGACATCGACATCCAAAGTGGAGTCATGCAAGCAATAGCCCATTTCTGGTGTCCCCAAACGTCCACGTTCATATTCCATAAACATGAGTTGACTCCGACTTTGGAAGAATATAGCGTTGCCATAGGAAAACCTTTGGATTTGGAGTTAATCGATCCACCCCTCGGGTCTGAATCGGAATCAATTTTGTCTGACTTTCTTAGGATGAACAAGAACCAAATCGGAAGGGTGCTAAAAGATAACTGCCATGCATGCCCACTTTCTTTCTTAGGTCAGTATTTTGCAAATGCTGAGACCCTTTTAAAAGGTAAAATCTTCCTTCTAACTTTCTTTGGGTTCATAATTTTTCCCTTTCGCAAGAATGCTATTGATCCTTCCGTTGCATGGGTGGTCAAACAAGTATGTGGTGGAGTTAGCTTTGTCAATACTATCTTGGCTGAAACATTTTTATCACTCACCCGATTTAAAGAAAATGAAGAAAAGGTTTTCCGTGCTCCTGCCGAGCTTTTACAAATCTGGTTTTTCTCTCATACAAGTGAATTTGGCATTCACATGAATATCAATGACATTAGTGAGTCTAATCACCCTATTGAGGCATTTAAGAATCATCAGGATCGGACTCCGAATCTTTCTTTCTTAGAATGGGTAAATTTATTGAAAAATCTGAAAACCAAGATTTTCCTATGGCAAGCTAAGTGGTTCCGACTTCGCGAAGGACGTCTCTCTTATGGCAATAATGAACCAATCCCATTACTAGGAATCACCGGCATCACTTCCTACTACCCGCTCCGAGTGGCCTGCCAATATCGGGTCGTCCAGGATTTACCACCTCCTCTCAAGCAAGATTCGCTACAAGTCCGATTTATCAGAAAGGGAGGAGATTACAAAAGAGAGCTTCGCCACGCTGAACAGGCTTGGCTCGCCTGCCATGCTCAAAAGTTAAATTGGCCCGAAGACGAGCTCGAAGGGAAAGAAAAGACTTATTATGCCACGGCCCGATACATCCGTCGGCATAAGATCCCAACCGAGTTTCTCCCAAAGATCCCGGACGTGACAAAGAAGCCGACACGCCAAGCAGAAATCAACTATCTCAAGAGGAAGACAGAGAAAGCCGAAGAAAGCTTGAAGCGTGTTGCCAAGGAGAATAGGCAGTTGCGTTGAGCATTGGCTTCCCATTCGCATATAGGTCAAGAGGAGTAGGATAGATTAAGTTTGTCGTTTCGGGTTTAGTCACTCCGTTTTTAGTTCATCTGTCTTAGGGTTCTTATTTTATCTTATTTTGTTTTATTAGCTTGATGTTTAGGAGCTTTGAGTTTTCAATTTTAGGAGTGTTACTCAATTAAGAACATTTTAATGAATGAAAGCGGCTAGACCATTGTCATGGACCGGTCTTCTATATGAATCATGTGCTTATGTATGCTTGCTTATTTATGATTCAGGTGATTACGAACCGTCCGCATTTGTCAATTCGAGCTCAATCAACGCGCGGAGAGTGAAATCGAGATTGAGGAGCTTTTTCCTGTAGCCGTCACAACCGGGCTTTAGCTAGTGCATCCGTTCCACCAAGATAATCGAGACGACTAAAAGGAGATCCCCGATCCGAACCCGTGCAAAAGTCAGAATGGAGAGCGAAGAAGCCAATGCGCGCATGACCAACATGGAAAACCAACTGGCCCAACTTACCGCCATGATGGCCGAAATAAGTCAGAAACTCAAGGATCCTCCGCCTACACATGCCACTGAGGCTTCTGTCCCCACCTCGTCAGGATATACTCCCCCGCTAGCCATTGATCCACATGCCATGGACCCTCCTGAAAATGGGACCGCATTGGATTCCCCTTCTGTCACGCCGATCATTGTAAATCTGGACCATGTTCCAAGGGAGGAGCCTAGCTTCCGCCTCGATGAGGAAAGCGAAAGGCGCCTGGCCAAGATGGAGGAACGACTCTGTGTTCTTCAAGGGTACAAGATGTGAGGGGTTGACAAGTTATCTCCGTATGCTAAAGTGAAAGTCCCCGAAACCTTCAAGGAACCGGAATTTAGCATGAAATATGATGGCATCGGTTGCCCTAAGACTTATCTCAAGTATTACTTGAGAAAAATGGCTCGTTATTCCGACAACATACCACTCCTCATCCAGACCTTCCAAGATAGCTTGATTGGCCCTGCCTTGTCATGGTTCATTGCGCTGGATGTTGAGACGATCACAGGATGGGAAGATCTTGCCGAAGAGTTCCTTCAGCAGTACAGGTTCAACTTTGAAATCATCCCCACGAGAGAAGACTTGGTTCGGCTAGAAAATAGAAGGAATGAACCTTTCAAGGCCTTCGCTCAAAGATGGAGGACGATGGCATCACAAGTAAAGCCCCCGCTGATCGAGAGGGAGATGAGGCAACTTTTTCTGAAAACCCTGCCACCTGAGTATTTTCACGGAATGTTAACTTCTGGATGTCAAACATTTTCCCAACTGGTGGAAGTGAGCGAAGGGGTAGAATGGGCGATTGTCGATGGTAGGATACCCGCAGGGAATATCAAATGATTCCCAACAAAGAAGAACAAGGAAACCGCTATCGAAGTTGCATTTGTCCAAGAGCCGTCTAAGTCTTTCTCAGCACCCCCACAAAAGCCCTCAATCGTACAAGGGCATGCGCCCCAAGGGCATGATCGAAATAAGAGATTTCCTCATAGGGAATTCTCCCCGCTGCCAAAATCCTTGTCAAAGTTGTTGCCCATGCTCATTGAGAGGAGGATGGTAGCCAAAGAAGTACCTATGGACAATCCTCCAAGGTTCCCTAGGTTTGACATGACCAAGACATGCGAATACCACCTGGGGGAAAGGGGGCATGACACGGACAATTGCTTTGCACTAAAGATCAAGATTCAAAACTTGTTGGACAAGGGAATTCTATCGTTCGAGAGAGTGCGACCCAATGTGAAGCGAAATCCTTTGCCCGACCATGCCGAGGGCGTAAATGTGGTGTTCGGAAAAGTGAACGTGAGCAAACAAGCCTTCATGGTGAACATCCCAAGGTTGTACGAAATTCTTCGGCTAGCTGGACACCACGAAGGAGGAAAGGATGTAATGATGGAAGAAAAATTAGAGTATGTTCGTAGAACGATGAGCATGGGGGTAATTGGGAGTGCTGATATGCGGCAGGGATTAGTCGCCATGACAACACCGATCGTGATATATTTCTCTGATGAAGATTATGCTAGTGATTAGGAGGTGGAGGATGTTGAGCCAGTGATAATTGACCTCGCAACTGAAGAATTCTCAACAATCCAGGTTGGAAGGGAGGATAGGACGCGAGTTGTAATCGAGCTGCCACCTTTGGAAGAAGAAGGGGTCATAATCCTTGAAGCCCCTCCGGATTTCGATACTAAGGCGGTCCCGTGGGATTACGAAACGGATGAAATGGATGCTATCACCCGGTCTGGTCGCTGCTATGCGCCTGCCGGAGGAATTGAGAAAAAAGCAGTGACCGAAGAAGACGCAAAGCAATTTTTGGCAGTGATAAAAATGAGTGAATTCAACGTGGTAAACCAACTGCGGAAAATGCCAGTCCAAATCTCTCTCCTGGATCTTTTCAAATCTTCTGAGAAACACAAGGATGCCTTATTAAAGGTCCTTAACGAGGTTCATGTCCCGGAGACGATCGACGAAGCCCAGTTAGAAGAATTTGTGGGGACCATCCTGTTGAAGGATCAAATCTCTTTTGCGGACGAAGACTTTCCGGTAGAGGGCCGGAATCATAATAAAGCTTTGTACATTTCGGTTAAGTATCACGATATGATGGTCGCAAGGACATTGATCGATAATGGCTCCGCTTTGAATTTATGCCCGTTGGCCACTCTTCGTCTCTTAAAGGTCGATCTAGGGAAGATGCGTACTGCCAAAAATCCCGTACGAGCGTTCGACGGCACTAGAAGGGAAGTAATAGGAGAGATAGAGTTGGAACTCCTGATCGGTCCTGTGACGTTTCTGGTGCTTTTTCAGGTACTAGACATCCCAAGTGCATTCAACTTTCTACTAGGGAGACCATGGATTCATACCGCAGGTGCTGTACCCTCTAGTCTCCATCAGAAGGTGCGGTTTGTGGTCGAAAGCAAGCTTGTTACAGTACATGGAGAAACAGACTTCAAAGTCTATCACGAAACGGCCATCCCGTACGTGGAGCCCGAATGCAAAGAGGAATCCAGTTTCCAAACTCTGGAATTGGTATCTATGGTCCACGTTCCCGTTGGCTCGCTCATGGGCACCCCTGAACTATCCAAGCCAACTCTAGCAGCTGGAAAGATTATGCTCGCAAACGGGTACAACCCTGGGGAAGGCCTTGGATTGTATGGGCAAGGGATCCGGAAACCCATTGAAGCCAGAAGAGGTGCGAAGAGTGAAGGCTTAGGGTATCAGAAAAGCCAAGATAATGGAGACCGAGACAACCGTGAAAGTCAGGACAACGGAGGTCGAGGCAATGATGGAGGCCGAGGTAATCACGGAGGCCGAGGCGTCTCTAGGGGTCGAGGTAACGATGGAAGCCGAAGTGGCCGTGGAGGTCGAGGTAGCGACGGAGGCCAGGGCAACCATGGAGGCCGAGGCGTAGGTCAGGGGGACCATGGCGGACATATTGGAGCGGAAAAAGGCTGTCGAGGCCCATTACTCCCCCTATTGAAAGAGATTTTCCTCGGGCCTCCGAAGATGCTACATGAGGAAGAGGCGGCCATCGACAGTATAGCTAAGCTATTCGAGGAGAATGTCATATGCGCTATCCTGACGTGTGAAGAAGCTGAATCTTCTGGAAGTGTCGCCAACCCTGCAGAGTAGGGCGGTTCCCGTTAGTGTTGTTATTTGCTTTATGTTCTCTCCCCTGCGTGGGAGCTTAGTGTTGTTTCAATTTGCTAATCTAAACTCGTTTGTAATGAAAACTTTGCCTAGCCCCGAATCTTGAGCCGTTGGTTCAGGGCGGTATGTGTTGTAATGCGGCCTTATCCTTTTAATTCAATGAAATGCGTGCATGTTTTATTAAGGACATGTGAAATCATACCAAACTGGTCCTATGATGGTCGCTGAGGGCTGGGGTCCCACGTGCTCCCTGTTTTCATGGTCTTCAAGAGCAAGGAAGTCCAATGACATGAGGATGAGCTCTTAAAAGCCTTTTCCAAAAATTTCAAAAGCATTTTCAAAATGGCATGTACCATGTTTTGTGTCCTAACTCATCTCATCACATCACATCTCAGGCATCACATTATGCATAATCATGGTAAGGATGCATGTGATTCGGATTCGCACGAAGGGAATCTCTCAGATATCGATAGCGATGACAATGATCCAAAGGGGATTGAGCGTGAATGGAAGCGACATGAGGAATCAAGGCCATTAACAGTGGAGCAAACAATCACCATAAACTTGGGTAATGATGAAAATGTCAAGGAAATAAAGATCGGGGCAAGTCTTTCGAAAGCAGAGGCCGAAAAAATGGTTCGCCTTCTTAAAGAATATCAGGATGTGTTCGCCTGGACGTACGCTGACATGCCGGGATTGGATCCAGAAATTGTAGAGCATGCTCTACCAACTGATCCTGACATACCGCTGAGGAAGCAAAAACTCCGAAGGACCAAGCCAGAGTTATCCAAGAAAATCGAGGAGGAGGTTATGAAATTGCTAAAAGTGGGGTTCATCGAAGTGTCGCATTACTCCGATTGGATAGCAAACATTGTGCCAATGATGAAGAAAGACGGTTGAGTCAGGGTCTGTGTGGACTATCGCGACTTAAACCGAGCTAGTCCAAAGGATGACTTTCCACTCCCACATATAGATGTCTTGGTCGATAGTACTGCAGGATTCGAATTGTTCTTCTTCATGGATGGATTTTAAGGGTATAATCAAATCCGTATGAAGAAGGAGGATAGGAGCAAGACCTCGTTTATAACCCCGTGGGGGACCTTTTGCTACAAGGTGATGCCTTTCGGTCTGAAAAACGCCGGGGAAACATATCAAAGGGCCATGGTCGCGTTATTTCACGACATGATGCACAAGGAGATCGAGGAGTATGTAGACGATATGATTGCGAAATCAAGACGAGGCGAAGACCATGTCGAAGTTTTGCAGAAGTTGTTTGATCGCCTCCGAAAGTTTAAGTTGCGCCTCAATCCCGCGAAATGTGTATTTGGGGCAAAGTCTGGAAAATTATTAGGGTTTATAGTTAGTAACAAAGGCATCGAGATTGACCCGTCGAAGGTAATGGCCATTTGCGACTTACAGCCCCCGGCCACTGTCAGAGAAGTCCGCAGTTTGTTGGGACGGTTAAATTATGTGGCAAGATTTATCTGCCAGTTGTCAGAAACAGCAAGGCCATTTTTCAAAACTCTTGAAGAACAACGCGAAAATCGAATGGGACGCCGAATGTCGGGATGCCTTTGAAAAGATAAAGTGTTATCTGAGTCATTCCCCGATCTTGGTCCCGCCAGTGCCCAAAGTTCCATTAATTTTGTATCTAACTATCCATGATGAATCACTGGGAGCCATGCTGGCCCAAAAAAGGCCGAACGATGGGAAGGAACGCGCAATATATTATCTCAGCAAGAAATTCACTACCTCCGAGGTGAACTATCCGGAGGTTGAGAAGACGTGCATAGCCTTGGTCTGGGTGTTGCACAGGCTACGCCAATACACCCTCCATCACCAAGTTCTGCTAGTAACTGAGAATAATCCCATCAAGTATCTCTTAGAGAAGCCAGCCTTGGTGGGGAAGCTGGCCAAGTGGCAGATTCTAATTTCAGAATTCGACGTGCAAAGCTTGGGGCAAAAGTCCGTAAAGGGCAGAGCCATAGCGGACATGCTAGCGGAAAATCTTGAAAAAGCGGAAGACCCCGATGAAGATGGTGACATGGATAGGCAGATCTTATTTACGTCGAATGACAAATGGACTATGTACTTTGATGGTGCAGTCAACTTATCTGGTTCCGGTACTGGGGCAGTTGTCGTCTCCCCGGATAGTCAGCACCACCCTGTGGCTGCCAAATTGACTTTCCCTTGCACGAATAACATCGTGGAATACGAAGAGTGTATCCTTGGCCTTCAAGCTGCTATTGACATGGGGATCCAAAAATTGCAAGTCTATGGCGATTCGGCCCTCATTATCCTTCAAACCAAAGGCAAGTGGCGAACGCGGGATCCAAAACTAGTCCCGTATCATGAGTTTCTGGAAGAGCTGGCGAAAGAATTCCAAGAAATATCATTCGATTACCTACCCAAGTCTCAGAATCAGTTCGCTGATGCTTTAGCCACATTATCGTCAATGCTGCAAGCAACAAAAGGCTTGGACATCGAACCATTAAGGATTGAAATCCTTAAGCGTCCGGCCTATTGTATGATAATTGAAGAAGAGCCTGATGGAGAATCATGGTACCATGACATTCTGAATTACCTGCAGAAAGGTGAGTTCCCTCAAGGAAGTGAAGCATCAGACAGGAAATATCTGATGAAGCTGGCCTCAAAATTCTTCATTAGCGGGGATGCACTTTACAAAAGATCTAATGACTCAGTGTTACTGAGATGTATCGACGCGAAAGAGGCCAATCGTTTGATGAAAGAGATACATGAAGGGGAATGTGGCCCCCACATGAACGGCCATCTCCTAGCAAAGAAGATCATGCGACTCGGGTACTATTGGTTGGCCATGGAGTCTGATTATATTCAGCATGTGCGATGCTACCATCGATGTCAAATTTATGGAGATAGGATTAATGCTCCGTCGAACAAACTCCATCAGATGTCTCAAGCTTGGCCGTTTTCCATGTGGGGGATAGATATAATTGGACCGATCAACCCTAAGGCATCAAACGGACACAGATTTATCTTAGTAGCAATCGACTACTTTATGAAGTGGATTGAGGCCAATTCATATGCTAATGTCACCGCAAAGAACGTGGCCAAGTTCATTCGCCGCGATATCATCGCCCGTTACGGAGTTCCGAAAGCAATCATCACTGACAATGGCTCCAATTTGAACAACAAGATCGTGGATGGATTGCTCGATACATTTCGGGTCCGGCATATGAATTCATCACCATATCGCCTTCAAATGAATGGGGCAGTCGAAGCGGCAAACAAGAACATAAAGAAGATCTTATCAAAGATTGCTGAGAATTATCACGATTGGCATGAAAGACTTCCATATGCATTGATGGCATATCGGACATCGATCCGCACCTCGACTGGAGCAACTCCTTTTTCGTTAGTATATGGAATGGAAGAGGTCCTACCCGTGGAAGTCGAAATTCCGTCCTTAAGGGTTCTCTCTCAGGCAAAGCTTGATGAGGCCGAATGGGTACGACAAAGGCATGAACAGTTGAACATGATCGATGGGAGCAGATTACAAGCCATATGTCACGGTCAATGCTATCAGAAACGAGTAGCGAAGTCGTTCAATCGAAAAGTTCGTCCCCGACACCTCAAAGTCAACGACTTGATATTGAGGAAGGTGATATCAATTGTACGTGACCCTCATGGCAAATTTGCCCCGACTTATGAAGGCCCTTATATCATCAAAAAGATCCTGCCAGGTGGTGCTTTAGTGTTAGTGGAAATGGATGGCCACGAGTTGTCAAAACCTGTAAACTCTGACGCAGTCAAGAAGTATTTTCCATAAATGAAATCAAGGCTAGAAAGCTGTTTCTCGTGCAATCCAAATCACTTAGTATCATGCATGTCATGCATACATTTCCATACATAGACATGTGTTTGTGTTTCAGGTATCCAATCGCAACGAAATGAAGGATGAACAACGAAGAGGCTGAAGTACAGGGACGAGAAACATTTCTCGTGATAATAATTCTTTGAACGAATGCTCAAAGTCATGTTTGGTGATTGATCGTTATGCGGTTATGAACTTTCCTGTGCATGTGAATGATAAGTCAAAATGCCCATGTCTTTTGAAAATGGACTTCGTAATGATTTTTATCTGTCTAAGTCACCAATTCCACTGAGGATCATTAAAATGGACAATTTAATGAGTGGTGCGGAAATGCTTGAATATGCTAAATGAGACGTATCGAAATGATGAAAGGCAAGCCATGTTCCATACACTGTACCATGTACTAATTCCTAGTGAGTTGAGCAGAAAAATTCCATGTTCGCAAAGTGAAGGGTTATCTCGCAAAAGGTACGGCAACTAAAATGATGAGAGGCATTTCATTCGTCCATCGCAAACGCTATAGGTTACCATTTGCTTAACCCTTTTGAGCTCAAACACTTGTGAAGCTTCTTTCATACTACCCCTGTCAAGAACCACCCCACACCGGGGCAAATCGGAGGTGAGTCGGCACATCGAGGTGCGAAAATGGGTAGAAAATTTTCTTGCTTTTGCTTTTAGTAATCTTTGAGTGCCTCTATTACAAATGAACTAGTACGTGAATTCAAGTGCCTTAAGACGACGAAAAGCGTTTCTTTCTCTATCCTACACACTTATATCCATTGAACGACCCAATCGAGCCTACAATTTTGCTTCTCATGAACCCAGTTGGTGATCGTCCCCCACACCGGGGCAAGGCAAAAGTCACCACTGTTCGAGCATCATGGTCCGGAGTGTTGACTAAAGATGAGGACTTGAGAGTTCAATAGCATTGTATTGTTTAAATTTGTCTAGGCCAATCCATAAGCAAAAAAAAAAAAAAGTGAAAACTAGGGGCACGAAAAAGCAGTGTACCTGGTAAAAGCAAGGCCTATGCCCATAGATATAAATGTTGAAAAAAAAAAAGAAGGGGGGGATGAACTAGGGGCATTAAAGGCAGTGTGCCCGTCAGAGTGAGGCCAGCGCCCATGTATTAAATAAGAAGCAAAATGTTGAGATGATATGTGTTGAAATCACAAAACCAGCCCTAGTCAAGCAATAGTCGTCCTTCAAGTCTCAAGGAGACGAGTGCCAAATGGTTAAGATCGATAGTGCATTTCTGAGGATAATCCCCAATGGCGAAGAAGAAGATCGGTGACGATGTCAAGATGATCACCAACTCTCACCCCAATACATATCATTGAGCCTGTGATCCTTTCGTTTCTCAACCCATGAACCCAACCTACGTTACGTTCTTCGTAAAGTTTTTTCTGATTGAGGCACTTGAGTCAACGTAGGAGTTCATATGTTTATAAGCATCGCTCGAAGAAGTGCAAACAAGACTATTTTCTATCCTATTTCGCAGAGTTCTCGACTTGTAAACCCGAAGATGATCACGAAGTATTTATTTCATAGCTTCGACTCGGACAGTCTCATTTGTTAAACAATCGATCAAGCTTATCTTACCAAGCTTATCTTACAGTCCTGATGAAGACCTCTCAGATTGGTAAGGTTGTATTGTTTGCGAGAATACTTGGACCTTTGTCGACGTGATGATCGTAAGACAGAGTGATTCTCACAAAAAAAACCCTTTTAGATGAGAGTGAACAAAAGTCCTTTCTAATTGAAAGTCCCTCATTTAGCATTTTCAAGATGATTCATGCTATGAGTGGAAATTGTCTTAAATGATAATTATCCCCGGTGGAAAGTTGGCGATGCGGACATGTTAAAATGTTACACATGAACTCCAATGGAATTGATCTTGAAGCATGTGTTTTAGAAAGTGCCAGTCGTCTATTTCCGAGATGAATGCATGTACCTGTTATTACTAATCCTGAAAGACAGGTGACGTTTCCTCAGACACCCACCTTCAAGCTGATCTCGGAAATGCTAAGATACATCTAAGCATTCATGGATTCCCAAGACCCTGTTGGCAAGGACACAATAGGCAATCTATCAAACCCTCGAACAAGGACCCCTAAGTGTTTGAGTCTTTTTAAGCTTCGTTGACAGAGAGCCTTTAGGCAATCCGATCTGACCTACAGGTATGCACACCTAGGTACGTTTCCAAAGGTTTGTGGTCCAACCTTAAACCACGCTTTCCAAAAGGTTTATGAAAACCTTAAACCACGCTTTCCAAAAGGTTTGTGGTCCAACCTTAAATCACGTTTCCCAGAGGTTTGTGGTCCAACCTTAAACCACGCTTTTTAAACGGTTTGTGGTCCAACCTTAAACCACGTTTTCCAGAGGTTTGTGGTCCAACCTTAAACCACGCTCTTCAAAAGGTTTGTGGTCCAACCTTAAACCACGTTTCCAAAGGTTTGTGGTCTAACCTTAAACCACGTTTTCCAAAGGTTTGTGGTCCAACCTTAAACCATGCTTTTCAAAGGTTTGCGGTCCAACCTTAAACCACTCTTTTCAAAAGGTTTGTGGTCTGTGACATTCCGAAATTCCACCAATTGGAATTTATTGAATAATTGAGTTTTATGAAATGTGCTCGTAGTAAGTTCTCGCCCGGAACTAATCATTTCTGGGAATGCTAACCATTAGGGAAAGGCTAATATGGGAATTAAATTCGCGCGACTAAAGGAAATTCGATCGTGAATGGATTTCGACCATTAAATCGCGTAAGTGATATTTTGAGCCACTATTGGCCGATTCAAGGATAGTTAGGGGTCAGTTCGCCACTGTCCTAGTAGTGGATCGCGGGTGATTCCGTTGGACCACAAAACGACTTGACGAATGATTCCGAAATTATACCGAACGATCGTACCCCTCGGATCAAGTGATTGATCTTTGCGATTTTAATGACAACCGAGGTCGTCACGCACTGAACGGACTTGCACGTGACTCGATTTAGTATTAGTCATAAGTCGATTTCGCGAATTTCCCCAGCAAGCCGCCCGTTAGCTCGAGAAACGCTCGAGATGCGTTTAATAGAATTTAATTATTGAATTTTTGCCCAAATTGGACACCGGAAAATTAGGAAGTCATGCCGGAATGTTAGGACGACGTTGCACGTGACACGTGTGAATTTTTGGTGCGCTCAAATCCTTCGGAAAAACTCGATTTGGTCAAGAAACGAAGAAAGTGACCAAAATACCCCTAAAGGTTATTAAATGACAAGTTTTAAGGGTAAAGGGTATTATCGTCATTTTTCGTTTGGGTCATTGGCATTATTTAAGTCAAATTTTGGTCTTCCTTCCCCATTCTCTCCTTCCTTTTCTCACTATCAGCCCCCTCCCCCATTTGGTTTTTTTTTTTTCTCTTCTTTCCACCGTGGGCTTTCCTTGGCCGTTTCTCTCCACCGCCGCTCGCCGCCGCTTGCCACACCGCTGGACCGCCACCTTGCCGTCGCCGTGCCGCCCTCCAACCTTACCGTCTCTCTCTCTTTCCCCTCTCTTTCTCTCTCTCCCCGTGACCCATTTCCGGCCGTGCAAGACCACGCCACCGCCGGACCGCCGCCGTGCAAGCCGGAAGCCACCGTGAGTTGTTCGCCTTCGCCATAGAGCGCCACCGCTTTCCGTTCTAGCCGTTTTAGCCTAGAACACGGTAAGTCATACTCTAATCCCGATTTAGGATTTTGGGTATCGCCGAACAATTTGATTTTGGGTGAAATTGGACTTGTGCGGGTGCGAAACGTTGGGGCTTTAGACCGGGAATGTATGGCGGGCCTTAAGGAATTAATTTGGAATTTTTGGAGGACGATTTGAGGGAATTTTAAGCTAAGGATCACTGTTCACGAGCTGTGATTCACTGTTCACGAGGCTGTGATGCTCGGTTCGGGACGAAAGTTGGATTTTTAGAACCGGTATTTAATGGCGAGAAAGTCCCATGAAGGATCGGAATTAATCCGATGCCACTAGAAAGCGGGTAAGTCGCGCTCTAAACCCAATTTAGGACTTCGGGTATCGACGGGCGATTTTGGGCGAAATCTGTATAAAGTTAGGTGCGGAATTGTATGAATTGGTAGTGGAAATTTTATGGCGGGCCTTAGGATTTAATTCGGGCATTAATTATTGGAAATTAGAAAATAACAGTGGCTGTGATTTACTGTTCACGGGGCCGTGATGGGCCGATCGGGACGCAAGTTGGATTTTTAGAATCGAGAATTTATGGTGAGAAAGTCCCGTAAAGGACCAGAATCAATTTGGCGTCGTTTGGTGGGAGAAAAATAGCGATTTCTGTGTTTAATGTGCGTTTGGAAAATAATTTAGTTGTGGTGATTAAATTGAGTATGTTGTTGTGCAATTGGGTGACTGTATATGCTTGTTGGGTGCACATGTGAGTTAGATTAAATTAATTATTGGTATTGCCATGTCCTATGCTGAATGTGCATGAGCTACGTATAAAATAATGCGTGTGCGGGCCACGTGTGAAGGGCCAGTTGCGTGTGATAAATGCATGTGGAGCGTGGGCATGAGTGAGAAGGAAATTGTGGTGTGGCAAGTGATGGTGGGAAAGTGTGTGAAAGTGCGAAAGTGCGAGTTTGGGATCGGGCCGAGTATCATAAACTCGGGCAGCGATCACGTAGGTCTGTTGCATTTGGCACAGGCCGAGGCTTGAAAAAGCAAGAATGAGAATCGGTCCGAGGCACGATCAGCTCGGGTGAGACAGGCATTGGACCGAGGCATTATAAGCTCGGGTTCCGATCATGTAGGCCTGTCGCATTTGGTGCAGGCTGAATGTTGGATCGCAGTGTACCTGAGGCGTGTACTTCAACGCGGGTCACTGGCGAGGGTTGAGAAATGCCCGGTATTACCGGAAGACTGCCAGCCTGAGGCGTGTACTTCAACGCGGGTTGCGCAGCAGGTGGTAGA